CTGTTTCAACTGTGTGTGGTTGACATACAACACTCACCCTGGGCTGGGCACAGCTAGCTAGCTTTTTCCAATTGGGTCATATATTGGGTAAATATTCCAATTTAGCCAGGCTAAAGTGGGTCTTGGAACAGCCCAATTTCCTATATTAATAACCTTCATAATCACAGGGAGACAGGAAAATTAAGACATCAGCAAAATAATATGGTGAAGAAGTGAACAAATTATTTAATGGACTACAGCATGGGGGTTTGATCCCCAGATACATATGGAAGGCAAATTAAAAAGCAACTTTTTTTTCCTTTTCTTGATTACCAACATTGAGGAGCCTTTGAGCGCAACCTTTCACCCCAAATTGCGTCACTAAAGCGGCTCAGTGGGTAACTCACCACATTGTAGTTGTACAACGCAAAGATGGGAATGTGTTGATAACACCCTTTAAAAGGAATTCTGCTATGTTAGTACCAGTCCTACACTTCTTCAACATTATCGAGCCCTTCAAATTGAGATGTTTGAAAACCCAATTGACTCTCTTAGTTTGGAAAATCTGGGTTGTGCTGCTAAGTGAATTTAAGGCAAGTAAATACAGGCCATTGACAAAGGTTACAAAAAAACACTCTTCATTAGAAAGAATAATGAAAGAAAATTATGAAACCATAGAAAAGTAACAATCTAAATGTTGGAAAGAAAAGTCTCAGCTTTAGACATTAAATAAAGTTTTAATGGTGGTATGGTCATGTGTCAGATGATTTGGAACTCAACCTGAGATTTCTTCATCTTTCAGATCCTGTCTTTCTGTCAACCACAAGATGGCTGCTATGACAATCTGCTGCCCCCCACTGTACAGCAACATGTCTACTTTAGTTCCACCGCAGGGAGCTCTTTCAGGGGATAAAAGGTGTTGCAGAAGAGGGAAACCCATATATTTAAATATTCAATTGTCTCAATGTCCCAGGATGCTATGGAGGGCCCAATATATTTAAATCAGGGTGATCAAGCCAGGGAGCTAAGACCACTGATGCCCAGAAAGTGTTTACATGGACATGCTCTTAATGCTAATCATTCAGCAGCGGATTACTCACCCAGATCCCACCCCCCACCATACCCCATTTTCCAGTTAGAAATCACTTTGAAGTCCCACCCAAGGATGGAAAAATGCTGAAATATTTACTCTTTAGTTAGTCACTTCTCTCAACAAAGGATCTCTGCCAAAATTCCTTCTCTTGGGACTTTAAATGACTGCTTCCTCTGCTTTGATTCATGTAAAGAACTCTTCTAATCTGATCTCTCCCGGGTGCTTCCTGAAGTTCACACCAAAACACGTCAGCACAGCCCAGACAGATAGTCATCGGCGGTTGTCAGCTCAGTATTTTAGGCTTCATGTGGGGTGTAGAAAAGGACCTGAGGATAAAGATTACCCCTTAATTCCCTCCTCACTTATAATTTACTGTAGCCTGACATTTATCCTTGATGTGTTTTCACACTCTAGGGCTCGAACTCACAGCAACACAAACACATTCACACAAGATTCTTTTAACAACTCCAATTAAAAGGAGGCTGTCTGAAAAAGTCCTGTCACAGCCAAAATCCCAACTCTTGGCTGGCCGCCCTCTCTCTTTATGTGGAGCCAAGTGCCCAAACTTCCTCCAATGGGTGAGTTTCTCTAAAGCGGGGGACAGATAACTGCTGGAAGTTACTTTTTGCTTGAAATTAAATACACAAAAAATGCATAATCTCCACATAGGTCAGAGGAAAGTGTGTGCTAGATTCCCTTACAAAAAAGTACTGTAATAATGTGTTGATTTTAGGGACCACTTTGCTGATCTTAATGTACTTTTCTTGTGGTAATAGGGTAATCCAATCTCTTTGACAATTACACTAATATAAATGAAAAACTTTAAAGAATTTTAGCAGAGACATTTTTTGTAACCTCTATTTAACACTGTCCCATCTGGATTGTATTTTTAAAAGTCATGTCACACTACATTTTTTGAATGCTTTCATTTATCTGATGTAGAAGATAATGCTTTATCTTGTTGTAATGGCCTCAGACATTTCATGTAAAATACAATCTAATTCAGTACAGGAAGTAGTTCTGAGACAGTCATGCAACATGTGAACTTCTTGAAAGAACTGCTTCACTCAAAGCCAAGAATGTATTAAATATCTAGAAAGTAGGTTACAGTGGTGTCAAGTACATTTATGAGTATTTCAATTTGTTGCTACTTTGTAGTTATAGCCCCCTACAATTGAGGTGTAATTGTAAATAGTGTACTTTTACTCAATAATGTAATGTAATACCTTACATTTTGATTCATTATTTGAATTATAATCAAAACTGCACAGCACATCACCAGGACGGAGCTGCCATCCATGGAGGATCTTTACTCCCAGCGGCTCAGGAAGAAAGCCCTCAGGATTACAAAAGACCCCCATCACCCCAGCCTCAAACTGTTCCGCCGGACCAGACTCAGGGACAGTTTCATCCCACAGGCCACAAGACTATTAAACACCTGAACCTTTGAAAGAACATACATAACATTCATCCGGCTGCAACTTAGAAATTATTTATCTAATATATCATATTCCAATCACTTGTATATACTCTTATTGCAATATTTCTCTTTTTGTGTTTACTTGCACTATTTTGTCTGTATTTCTGTTTTATTGTGTTGCACTGTTGGAGGAGCCTGTGACCTAAGATTTTCATTGTCATAACTACACTGTAGCTATGTATGACTAATAAAAGCCTTGAACCTTGAACCCTTAAATCAGGGTTGGAAAGAAAATTGTTATTTTGTACAAACCCTTACACCTGGAGTAAATTCACAAGCTACCCTGCAAGTCATTAAAACTAGCTGCACCTTTAATAACACTTTAATAATTATACTCTAAAATTATACGTTGTTTGGAAAATGGGCCAACTTGTATGATATGTACTTCAGATGCCAATACTTTTGTACTTTTACTTTCATATATATTATTCTGAATGGGCCAATCTGCAGGAGTAGATTTATTTAGATGGCAATACTTTTGTAATTTTACTTAAGTAACATTTTGAATGCAGGACTTTTACTTGCAACAGTATTCCTACAATCCGGTAATTTTACTTTTATTTAAGTACAAGATCTGAGTTCTCCCACCACCTCCGGTTAAATTCCCAATTAAATTTCGTTTTCCCAATACATGCAGACGTTTGTCTTTCCAGACACCTTGGGGTGGAACAGACTATTGTTTCATACGGCCAGATGGACAGAGACGAGTTGATACCTGGACAGTGGATCGATGGTGTTTCAGGCCTCAGGGGGGTCCATTAATCAGCCACCAGCAGTCTGTCTCCCCCACAGTGTACCTTTAGGTGTAATTGCTGACCATCATACTTGGCAGTTTTACCACAGGCTGAGTTTTTTTTTATATTGAAAGATGCTGAAAGCAGGCAGTTGCCCAGCAGGAATAAGAGAAGTAGAAGCCAATGCTTCACTCCAACATTTCTCAGAGCTAACAGCCTCTGAATCAGACACACTGAGATGTAAAGAGTCCAGATAACAGCCTGCTGCTTTTTCTCCCTTAAAAAGACATGGAACTTTGTGTACGTAGTTTTAAGAGCACCTCCAAGACCCCACAAATGTAGCCATTAAACCCCCTATCAGATAAAGATTAGCTAAACCTCATACCGTAAAGCACAGGCATTTAAACCGGCATCTGACAGTTAACAGTCAACGGAGCTCCTTCTCCAAAAGACTGCTGTATGTATGTATGTGTATATGTATGTGTATGTGTATGTATGTATGTATGTATGTATGTATGTATATATATATATATATATATATATATATATATATATATATATATATATATATATATACACATACACACACATACACACAAGGTTTAATTGGACACTTCCAGCTCTGCTCGAGTGACAGCCTGTTACAGCAGCTCCTACTCACCGCTGAGGAGTTTCCTTTTAGTTTGATAATAGTATTACTGTACCAAGAATCTCAAAGTAACTGCAAGACATCATTTTACTTCCGATATCTATCTACGTGTTACACTTAATTGGTTTTATTAATACAGCCGATACTACTCTTCTACCAAAAATGTGTAAATTGTAATAACTGTTCATTTCTATTTTAAATATATTTTGCCCTTCATCCATCTGAACTTTTGCTGTAACAATGTAAATCTCTCCTCTGTAAGAAGAATAAAGGAATTCTGTTTGTTAAACTAGTAACCCGAGACCTTTGTCCCCAGCAGCCTGCTGCCACCAGATGTCATCTGACAAGTGCTGCAGTGTTCCCCTCTGAAACATCTATAAGAAGACTACTAATCACCTCTCCTATGGCCACAGCTGCAGTAACCTGCTGGTTTGTAGGACACTACTGCCACCATGTGGCAGCTTTCAGAATAATATATATATATATATATATATATATATATATATATATATATATATATATATATATATATATATATATATATATATATATATATATATATTCTATATATATATATATACACACACATATATACACACATATATCTTTTGGTGAGCATGGTATTCCGATTACTTTATTGGCGTTTACATCACCAGTTCTTCCACAGCTAATAGACATGGTGTGACAGTCTAAGGCACTGACCAGTATTTAACATCTGGATAATGTGTGCAGAGAATATAAAAATTATAGCATATCATATATAGAAGCAATTTTAGCTCCATTGCTGACATTTTGAATGTTAAACTGTAAATTATCCTCTTGAATATACAAATACATTTTCCAAAAAGCATTTAAACTACCCAATTGTTCGTATTTAACATACGTTAATAACTTCCATTTTGTTTTTCATGAAACAAAATGTTTATTGATTTAAAACCACAATATTTTAAATTTGATCAGGAATACTGAAGTTTGTTTTATATTGAAAGGCTATGGTACTGGACTCAAAATCAGAGATTAATAGTGACCCAACTTATCAGAAAGAAATGCAAACAGTCAATAATGTATCATTAGGAAGCACATTTTATTGAACATTACTACCCTTTAAAAACACAGGATAAATCACTTCATATATATTTTCATTTTAAACACAACTTTACATCTATCACTCGCATCATTTGGACTTTAACCTTCTTGAAAACAGTCAAAATGACCTATGGGCATTAAATGTCACCTTATGTCAGTCACGTGACGGAAGAGCTCCTTGGTCTCCTGCTCCTCTCGCAGCAGAGTCACGTGTCCCGGCAGGAATTCGACCTGGAAAACGCTCAGACAACAGTAACTGTGGAAAGGCCCAACATCGCAACACAATGTACTACTGTTGCCATCAAGACAATGCAGGGTAACACAATACCTGCCCGGGTTTACCTGGATTTCACAATCCGTGGCCAGGCGAGAGCCGATGTGCGTTTGTTTCGTTCCTCTGGGCGGCGCCACAGTGCTCAGGACTCGTTCTACTGGGCGGGCACCATCCAGTGCGCCGCTGTGAGACAAATAAAGCCCAACCATGAAACTTGTGACATAGCAAATGCATAACATGGGCTAATAAAAACAAAAACACAATATGCACAGGTCACATTCATGTCATTTAAAGTGTAATGTCACACCTTTTATTTGCCCTTATCGGTAAGTCTCGGTTGGAGAGGCGGACAGACCAGTTTCACAAGGCCGCGTAGACCAGTTCAATCCGGTTACCAGTACAGGTCAAACACTTCCTCAAAGTCCCTCTGTTGAAAGGCAAGACAGCTATCGTAATCAGAGTCTGATGCATCACATATACTGGGTGATACATATTCACTATCATGATGTGGAGATGTTACATGAGAAACTGTCTGGGTGTAGTTCGCCTTTAAGTCGTCGTAGACATTACCCATAAGGTACTGCGTGGTGTTAGGCGGCGCCATTGCCCCCGATGGTTGAGGTAGCATACAGGCCGCGCTGGGGACTTCCTTACACACGGATGCCTTCTTCGCTGTCTTCCCGATTTTCCCCAGGGCTTTGGCGAGTTTAGCCAGCTGGGCCCGTCTTTGTTCCCGCCGGAGGCATTTTCGGAAGGTCCTCACAGAGCCGGTTAAACACTTCTTGAAGGCCGCATCCCCCTCCGTGGAGACACGAGGCAGTTTCCACTTCAATCTGGACCCAGGTTTCATGGTTTTACGCAGGCTGTCGGTTTTAATGTGCTTCGATTTGGTATCCATTACTTCTTGACACATGTCAGTCCAAAAACGAATTGTAGAGGGAAAAAAACGTCGACTGCGGCTGAGTGACGTCTCTGTGGAGCGAGTTTAAAGTGTCTTCTTCGGAGTTTAAAAGTGAGAAAAAACAAAGATAGCCTTTACTAAAATGCTGTACTGTTTGTACCACAAAATCCAGAAACTATAACAAATGTTTGCTAAATATTCGGAGCTCTAACAACACGTCCTGTCCGAAGTTCCTTCTCGTCGAAAGTCTGTGTAACGCAGGGCCTACGTCGCATTTATTATAAAACACACCCAGAATCCTTTGCTTTCCAAAACAAAGGCAGGGCTGCATGGCGGTACTGCCCTCTGCTGGGGTGGAATGAGACAAACGAAACTCTGACTGACAGGGAGACGAAGTGCTCAACACGGAATGAATCAATGTTGTGAGAAAATTCAAATTAATAATTTATGCAGTAGTGGAATGGTATTCAGATGCTTTACTTGAGTAAAAGTACCAATACGTATCTGTCAAAAATACTTAATTACAAGTTAAAGTCCTGCATTCAAAGCCTTACTTCAGTAAACGTTACAAAAGTGTTATCAGCAACATTTACTTTAAGTATAAAAAGTAATAAGTGTGCAGAACAATTGCCTTTACGTGTGTATATAATTACATTTATATAGTGACATTTCTAGATAATATCTAGATAGATAAACAAAAAATTGTATCTAAGTACAGTACAGAATCAGAATATACCTTTATTCGTCCCACAGAGGGGAAATGTACTTGAGTAAATGTATTTAGTTACGTCCATCCTCTGAATTTGCATGGAGAACAATAACACACTATAAGTATGAAATAGTTGGAAATAAAATTGTCATTGTGTACATTTCCCACAATAATATTTCCTAAACACATTGTCTTAATTTACAAATACTCTATGGTGAAAAGTGCTATTTTTTGTAATAATACAAAACAAGATTCAGTTTTGAATAAATAGCTTGTAAAAGGGACTTTTCGAAATACATTTCGAAATACAAACTAAGTTATATAAATATAATGTATTTTTATTTCATGGTTTCTTATGTATCTATTTGAACACATGAGATCTAGATAGTTCTACAGTTCGTTGTTACTGTACTGCTGGTCAATATAAAAAACAAATAAATCAGAAATTGCATGAACTTCATAGAGCTACTCAAGAACATAATATTCACAATCCCTCCATACCAACCATCTTGTAAAACTACAATAAACTAATAAAATGTGTAATCTAATTAAAATGACATTAGGATGAACCAAGGTAACAATCACAATACATCTCTACACCCAACAGGAATATTACTGTGACATCATTGAGGATTCCCACCAATTAAATCACAGTTAGTGTATGTATCGCAGGATTATTAAAGTGATATTATAGCTGTCAACAAAATCTCCAGGGAAATTATGTTGTGAACCACTGGAGGGCAGACTCCAACATGAAATGTAGATCTGTCACATTTAGCAGATACTTTGAAACACCGCCAGAGGGCAGCATGTCCCTGACAGAGGGCTCTATGGCAAGCCATTTGAGTATTTATTCCATATCCTTGATATCAGACGGCAGCTGCCTACACTAGTTGGCTCTTTGATTGCACTTGTTAGATTTATGGTCAAACTAGTTTGGCACTCTGTTTTACTAGTTCAATAAAACATTATACTAGTCACTCTTCTTCAGCAACTAGTGGCACTTTTATCCGACTAGTTACCACATAAGCCTTACTAGTGACGCCAGGAGCAGCACTAGTAGCACCAAAGTCCCAACATGTAAGCTTTTTGATGAACTAGTGGCCCTCTGACCATACTAGTGACGCTAAAAGTCTTACAAGTTAACTAGTGCACTGCAAAAGCTCTGACATGTTAACTAGTTACAAAAAATAAGCAGAACTAGTTATCTAGTGGCATACATTTGTCTGCACTAGTGAACTAGTAGCACCCAGAATCACTCACTAGTTAACTAGTAAAGGCAAAAGGTTAACTAGTTAACTATTTGACGCCTGTTTTACCCAAGCGGCAAACTCTGGGGAAGAGCCGGGACGCCAATACGGAAGTGCCACAAACTGCAGTTCATATATTGGCCGATAGGCGATGACTGCAGAAAGGAGCAATTTCCATAGACCCCCATGTTAAAATGCCCAATTTCACAGCAGAAAAAAAACGTTTCGAGCCCTGGATGCCATAAATATTATTATGTATATAGTTAGATTCCACCTTCATGATTATGAATCTGTAAGTGAATTGTTTTCTAACATGACCCTTTTATTTATATTAGGTCTTAAAGTTTTTGCATAAATTAGGGCGTGGTCACATTGAGTGACAGCTCTGTCAAGTGACTGCTGCTGTTAGCTTCTTGTCTCTCTGCTAGCTGCTCCGTCTCCGTGAAGCTACAGGGACTCTGCCTGCTCAGTTCATCCAGGGAACACAACTTGACCCCGGCCGTGTTTGTTTATTCTTCATGCTTATATATCGGACTATTGTGACTTGCTCTGCGGTTAAAACAGACGGTGCCGTTTTGCGGTAAGTGAAATTCGAGTACTTTATTTATGTGTTTATGATTTCAATCAGCTACGTAATGAATGTTAAGGCTTGGGTTAGCGTGTAAGCGAGTGGTAGCTACATCGGTGCTAACGATGCTAATCTTAGCCTCCAAGTTAACTTAAAACCATAGACTGTATATATAAAGGTTAAAACGAAATAGACAAGTGTTAAGCGTTAAGTGGGATAATACTGCAGAACAAAAGGCTTCTGTTTGAGGTTGATAAAATAAGGTCATCCTTGTAACTTAGAGAGATATTTTATTATGTAGGTAGGAACTGTATGCATCGCTAAGGTTAATTTAAATTGGCTATGCTCAAGTATGTAGACAAGCTAACGTCGAAGTAGTGTATGTGAAATCAACCTCACAATAAGATGTGTGTATATTACAATTATTAATGTCATATTTCAAGATGATTACTTCGATATTACAATATGGTTGGTTGAGCTGGAGTTCATTATTGAGCTTACACGTTAACGTCACAGTCATATCTGAAGAACGAACCCAAATCTTGTTGTTTTTATTAATTGCATTACCAAATTGGTATCAAATAAACAGTAAGCATTGGTAACACAACTTCCAAAGTTACGGTAAAATAAAAAGGACCCTGACTCGGACAATACACAATCCAACATGTTCAACAGAAGAGAATAAGTTATATTGTTTGTACACATGGTACTTTACATATATATCTGTTTGTTTAAAGTGTCCAGGTGATTCGACAGGCTGGACCAGAGAGTGAGAGACAGCACTGGACTCCTCACAGCAGTGAACTTCAGCACAGGTACAAATACTCTTTTTTCATACTGTACAAAGAATCAAGAAAGATATTGGTTTAAATAAATGAAGTATTGACTTTAATACACTGATATACATTTCATTAAACAATACTAAATACTAGATCACCTACACATCAGTGAAGTTGAGGGTTTTTTCCATGCAAAGGGTTACATTTAGATGTTAACAAGCAATATGACTTTGCCAGCTTTCTAATTTAATGTATTGAAGGCAAAGATATTTAACGCATAGTGACAACTGCTACTATTTATCTCTCAATATTGTCTGTAAAAATGTGGTAAAAGTTATTCTTTCAGTGAGACAACAGAGCAAGCTTGTTTTGATAACAGTTCAATATTATTTTGATAATAAAATACATTTCAATGTTGATAAATTTCATACTGTTCATTCATAATCTGATTGTCTTTGTAGCTCACTGTTGAAATAAAAAAAAACATTACAATTACAAAATAATTATATCTACAGCCCCTAAAAACACAAACACACCGCTTTCATAAATAACACACTTGTTCTGCAATAATATGTTTTATGTTTCCTGTAATTTTTGTTAGGAAAGGACATGCCTGAAAGACACAACTCAGCATCTCCTCTTTCTCCGAGGGTCAAGAAGAACATCCAAGAGGAAAATTAAAAGCTGATGTTATGAGATGTTAAGACCAGAGGCCTGTACTACGAAGCCGGATTTTCCTAACCTGGATATGTTTGAGTTAGCCGGTTGGCCCAATCCAAAACATACGCGCTCTGGCTAAACTGTACTACGACGCTGGTTATCAAGTGGATCGCTCAAGCCAGCCGTGTCCTATCTAGTTAGGTGTACGTTCACATGAAAGGGGTGGTATTTGGAGCATTCGACCAATCACAAACATGGACAAGCGCACTGACAGCGCAGCGTCATACTTCCTGAATGAAAAGTGAACTTTAATATTAGTCAAATATGAAGAAGTTAAACTTTAAACATCCATGACTTAAACACTTTATCCAGGATAAAAGCCACATAGCTGCACCTGCAAGGTGAATACAGCTGGTAAAAGAAAAAGCGTTTGAATGCGTACATTAACAGGTTTATGATATCACTGCCCCGTTAAGACACGAGTGGATCTGACTTTTTAATTGGACACTTCCAGCTCTGCTCGAGTGACAGCCTGTTACAGCAGCTCCTACTCACCGCTGAGGCGTTTCCTTTTAGTTTGATAATAGTATTACTGTACCAAGAATCTCAAAGTAACTGCAAGACATCATTTTACTTCTGATATCTATCTACGTGTTACACTTAATTGGTTTTATTAATACAGCTGATACTACTCTTCTACCAAAAATGTGTAAATTGTAATAACTGTTCATTTCTATTTTAAATATATTTTGCCCTTCATCTATCTGAACTTTTGCTGTAACAATGTAAATCTCTCCTCTGTAAGAAGAATAAAGGAATTCTGTTTGTTAAACTAGTAACCCGAGACCTTTGTCCCCAGCAGCCTGCTGCCACCAGATGTCATCTGACAAGTGCTGCAGTGTTCCCCTCTGAAACATCTATAAGAAGACCACTAATAATCACCTCTCCTATGGCCACAGCTGCAGTAACCTGCTGGTTTGTAGGACACTACTGCCACCATGTGGCAGCTTTCAGAATATATTCTATATATATATATATATATATATATATACACATATATCTTTTGGTGAGCATGGTATTCCGATTACTTTATTGGCGTTTACATCACCAGTTCTTCCACAGCTAATAGACATGGTGTGACAGTCTAAGGCACTGACCAGTATTTAACATCTGGATAATGTGTGCAGAGAATATAAAAATTATAGCATATCATATATAGAAGCAATTTTAGCTCCATTGCTGACATTTTGAATGTTAAACTGTAAATTATCCTCTTGAATATACAAATACATTTTCCAA